GCCCTTTCGTCCCCCAATATTTTCTTTTCGTAGGATCTTATTCCTTTCTTGCCAAGAGTAGTCCTATAATGGACATGGCGCTCTTCCAAGCAACAAAGAAGGTAAATAACTTTACTTCTTCTCGACTGCTAATCTTTGAAGCACAGCGATTGGGTTTTCAAATAAATCATAAATTTACTTTTACAAACACAGGTACCTGATCCGAACAATCAAACAGAGACTTTGTACGAATCCTGGAAGACGAAACGACCTGATAAGAAGAAGGAAAATCCGAGGTAAGTCGATGTCGAGGGAGAGGTTTGTGGGGAGGAATTGGCAGTACTGTGATACTGACAGGTCACGTGGTTGCTCTTTACCCGGCATTTTTATCCATTAATTGCAGGTGTGCAAATATAATTATTATGAGAATAACTGAATATTTTTGTTGAAATTGTAACTTAAATTGGAAAATCTAGAACCTCCCTGGAATAAGTCAGTCGTAGGAGTGAAGCGTTAATTATAACTTTGCTTGTGTTTCTTATACTTTAGTGTTACAGCCATTGGTGCAGGAGCAGATTTTCTTTTCTTTCTCCAAAGAATCGGTGTTCCCTGTGTTGACCTGCGTTTCGCTCCAGAAAAGGTAATAAATGCTGGTCACTCACTTCCGTTTCCGGTTGATATGTGGATTTTGTCACGTGTGAAATAGCATAATACCGCTGTCTTTTTGGATCGTAGACTCACTGTCAAAATGCTCACAAATACAATAGCCAGCACAAAAATTTAAAATTTTACGAATATTCACAGAAACATAATGGAAAATTCTATATATGACATTCAGTCTAGTTCTGTATAAAGCAGACTAATCTCACTTCTTTGCCGCCATATTGGTCGAATTATTAATGTAAAATTGTTAAATAGAACTGTGTCTTTGTATCAAGCAATATGGCCGCCATGGGTTTTGCTTTTCCATCTATTGTGAATAGTTGATCAATCAAGAAGTCTATAGAATAGATTTAGAGACAAATTACCTTATATTTCTCCAGTTTCGAGTTCTCCTTTGCTCATTGTTAGCTTCAACTATGTGCAGAATATATTTATGTGTTCCAGTGAAGGTCCTTGTTTGTATTGTTGAAGTTGTGCATTCTTTACTTTACCGTTGGTATTTGTGAATATATTTATCAGACACTGATATGAGGTTTACCCTGAGTAAATGAGTCTGTAATCAAGGAACACAGCGGTAATTTGGAACTTGAAAAATTTGTCCCCACAGGGAGGTTACCCAGTGTATCACAGCATTCACGATACATTCCGCTGGATGAAAAAATTCATGGACCCAGACTTCCGCTACCACAGCGCGGTTACCAAGGTGATATTGCGGCTGACATTCAATTTCGTGGACGCACAAGTAGTTCCTTTTGACTTGAATAGACTAGCATCTTCATTAGAGGAGTATGGCAAGGACTTGGAGAAGCAGAATAATAGAATACTGTCTTCAAAAGGAATTTCACTGGGTGAGTTTTCTGTTGTTGGATTTGGACTTCTTTATTTGCTTGTGTGACGACGTCCATTGTTTGAATATACAAATTTTTTCCCCACTGTAAAAGTGTCCGTTCAAGGAAAAGAAAACAATGCCAGATTTTGTTTTTATTCCAGAGTTTGTGTGTGAATAAAGGCGTGGTAGTTTTTTCAAAAAGGGGTCCCACATGGAGAGAAGTAATCACGGGAGCTTAGTCATCGGTGACACAAGCGTTATTTCGGGTCTGCTGGTCATAGCAAGGGGTTAATCATCTACGGTCTAGGGGCCGACTAACCTCTCCCTAAGGCTTCGGCYGAGCTTCCTGATCAGTCTGTAAATCCAGGGATAGCGGTGTCGGGGCCGAAATCTCCGGCATAGCCGTAAATGCTTCGCGCTGCCATACTGCGCTTCAGCACTACGTCTGGAGGTATGGTCCTAAAATGTTAAACAAATCAATAAAAATAGGTGAACTAGCAGCAGTAAGGGGGACTCGCGATCGATGTCGTATATTCACGGGTTTTACAGGCGTTATTCCGAAGGCGCCGGCAGCGGGTATTACCCGCGCGACAAGTCCTTACTGCTGCTGTGTTGGGTACCGTAAACGGAGGTAAAAAATATCTTATAAATATACGATGCAC